CAGCTCCTTTTGAAGAAACTTCCCCGTAAGAGCTAAACAAACGCCTTCAAAAGTTTTATTTGTCGCTAAGAAAAAGCGACGACCGCGGGCGTTCAGTCATCGCGCACCAAAATTGTAATCGTTGGCAACAGTAAATGAGTTAAAAATCATCATTTTGTGCTCAATTATCTCACTGTTTTAGTATATACTAAAACAATTATTCACCTAAGTGTCGGCGTCGGCAAATATCCACTACTAGCCACCTCCACTTCGGTGAATAATTGTTATATACCGATTTACTCATACGCTATTAGTATTATTTCCAGTGGCTGAAAAGGGATGATCCAAAAATATTTTGTAAATCCCAAGAAATATTTCAAATCCCAATATTTCTCTAAAACCACTGTCGAAAATTTTGAAAAATATATAAAACTGTTGCCAATCCTAATAAAATAAGTGGATCCACCAACAACTTTCTCAATAATTCGAAAATATTTTGCAAATCCATAAAAATTATTTCAAATCGCAATTTTTGTACAAATCATTGCTGAAGAGTCTGGCAAATCCAAAAAATACATTGCAAATCCTAAGAAACTTGTTGGATCCGAAAATAACTTTTTAGAAAACTCTAGAATAGTTTACAGTCAAAGAATGTCGTCAAATCCCAAAGAATATTTTGGAAATCGAAAAAAAGTTTTGTCACGTGCTACTGCGCCACCAGTCAGCCAGCGTTATACCAGCGTTTTCCACCACCCTACGTCATCCCTGCCTGGTCTCCCTGTCTGGATCCATTTTATCAAAAAATGGCGCAGTTTCTGTCTTGTGTGGCTGTAACTCTGTAAGGTGAACTCTGGCAACAAATTTTGTTTTAAAATGTGGTGCAAAAGTTAAAGAGACATCGCTGAGTGGGAGAGACAGTAAACTGGAAGAAGAACACATCATCTTCGTTGATGAAGTCATTAGGTGGGTTCACACTGGACCTTTCAAGTGCACTTGAGACTAACTTGTGTGTGAACGGGTCCTTTTTTACTTGAATGATCTTGACTAGTCGTACTTAGTTGCCACAGAAACTTCAAAACCTCAAAGTGCTGAGGTGCACTCTCAAGTAAGGTCAAAAACCTTCCTTGAGTCTGCACTCATCAATCAAAGCGTCGGAAGTTTAATAACAAAGTGTCAACCATCTCGAGCCACAAATTTTACTCTCACAAGCGAGCAAGCAAGAATTGAGTGATGAATGAGGATGCTGATCTCGAAACGTAGGTAGGTTTTTCTCAGTCCTGATTAATGACCTAGTTCAGAAATTTCACGAGTTCCTTTTTTCACTGTATTTGACAGCGGAAACCATGTTAATGCAAGACTTGGTTGTGGAAACATAATGACCTATGTACCACAAAAAAATGATTGCCCTGTTGTGCGATTCATTGAATGCAGTTTATTCTTTTTTCAACTCATTCAAGCCAGTTTTTCGTGTCCACCTGCACCAATAGACAGTCATAATTTACAAGATAAGTCAACCTCTCGTCTCATGAAAGAAGCAGAAGCCACGGGCTGCATTTACTTAAAGAAATTCAAGCGACCTAGAAAAGTGCCTACAAAACAGGAGAAACAGAACAGCTCTAGCATGAGAGTCGGGACCAAAGTAAGAATTATAAGTCAATAATTAAAACGCTCATTGACTGAAAAGATGGAGGGATATGGAGTGACATTTATAGACCATTCCCGCATTCGTGACAAGCACGCGCACAAAAACATGAAAGTGAGGCTCGGGTGGACAAACATCAAACATGGCGGACAACACCGAGAAGCCTAAGGCGCAAACTGCGAAAGATATCCCGTGGTGTAAGTCTCTTAAAAGCTTGCCAGTGTTTACAAGGAAAGAGATAGATGAACACCGGAACAATAGTGGCAAACGAAAGGCTGACGACGTTTGAAGCCTATTAAAAAAAAAACCCTGAAGCGCGGCTTAAAATTTCAAGAAGAACGGTATCTTTCATCAGACACAGTGTATACGAAGGTATTTGGTAACTCGTTTATGGTAAAAGCAAAGTGTCGTGCCAGCATGAGTACTCGAGAAATTCACGAACTAGAAGTTTCACTCGATGTAACATCTGGGAATGTACGGGAAGCACACTGTACTTGCAGAGCTGGCAAAAGTGGATACTGTAATCATGTGATGAGTCTTCTACTTGAACTCGCTCGTTACTCTTTGGAAGACTTTGACAGGATACCCGAGGAAGCAGCATGTACAAGTATGTCAAGGAAATGGGGTATTCCAGGTAAAGTATAAATTGATTTCAATCAGCTGTAAGTACCTACCTGTACTTTTGGGCAGCTCACGCAAGTAGTTAACATGTTCGGTTTTCGTCTGCTAGCAGAAGAATTAAACTGATAATAGCATAGGTCATGCTGAAGCACGTCTTGATAAAGTTGTATGATGTGTCTGAAAGTTTTGAAGTGACTTAAGCATTATTCACATAGTGATCAAACTTTTTTCTGTTCTTGTTCTAAGGTGAGAAAGGTCTACCTAAATAACCCATAATGAAGACATCAGTTCAAAAGGAGTTAACGAACAAGGGAATAAAACCAACTCTGTATGATCCAAGAGTCAAGGAAAGAAAAAGATTAGACATCCGTGGAGTTCAAGTAATACAAAAGGAATTGGAATCAATTCATCCTCTTATTGGTTTTTCCCATGTCATCCCAAAAAAGCCTGAATTGCTGACTAATATAGACACCAGGTATGGACCAGTGGTCTTTGGATCTCCCCTCTCTTTTCATTTAAGTTCTTTGGAGTTCAATTTCACTGTTGTCACTAACCTGGAACCGGCAGTTAACCCTGCTCAAGCAGATTCAAGTGACATTTACAAAGTAAGCTTGCCATTCCATTTCCCAGACTTACCTGAAGCTGTTCATTTCAGTACTGTGCAACAAACATTCATTGAACACTTAAGAGTAACTCACCAAGAAAGTATTGATATTGAGAAAAGGACTGTTAAGCAAAGGGAATGTGATGAGTGGATAAAACACCGCAAAAATAGACTTGGATCATCTGTGTGTCACAGAATATATGTAAGGAAACGAAGTTTCAATAATCTTGCCAAGGAACTTAACCAGCCATTTAAGCCTCTAGATGAAATTCCAGCAATTCAGCAGAGAAAGCTAAAGCATGGCATAAAATTTGAGCCAGTTGCAAGAGAAAAATATTATGATGTCATGAAGCACTATTTGAAGAGGCCAATTACCTTGAGAGAGACAGGGATGGTGATTCCCCCATGCATGTTTTGGCTAGAAGGCAGTCCTGATGGTCTTGTTATTGATCCATGTTCCTCATCTGGGAAGATAGGGACAATTGAAATGAAATGTCCAGAGGGAAAGAAGAACCACACCCCAGAGGAGGCAATGCAAGATGAATCGTTTTACATTGAATTAGTTGATGGTAAACCCATCCCGAAGAAAGATCATCACCTAGGATATTACACCCAAGTCCAGCTAGTTATGGGTTTCTGTGGTTTAGAGTGGGTTGACTTTGTAGTCTATCTATTTAAATGGATGATCATCACAAGGGTTCCATTTAACAAAGATTATTTTGACCAAGTAGTATGTAAAGTAAACATCTTCTATGTAAAGTGGTTTCTTCCTCAGGTCATGGCCTAAATGCAGTTTAGTATATTGTGCATTGTGCCTGAGCAAACGGTGACATTACAACGTGTACCAGTTTTCCATAGTATCTAGCTTTTAGACTCCTGTTGATGGGTGTTAGGGCTTCAAGGATAAGGTTACTTTGCTCTTTGCAATGTTATTACAGTACAGTAAAAACCCACGTATAAGAACCTAAAATTTAAGAACCTGTTAGGCTAAAATGTTTATTTTAAACCCCCTTTTCATAATAACCTATTTAGCCTAAAATTTTCAATAGGTTAATATTTTACAAAAATGAAACAGATGAAAATACGGAGAAAAACTTTTAGTCTAGGTTTCAGTCAGTAAGATTCAAACAATGAACTAAAATGAAAACCATATCATGTCTTTGCCAATACTGGATTACACAATGCAATATTATTATTAAGAATACAGATCTCTCTCATATGCCCGAGAGTAGTTATCTGTGCTGATCACTAGTACCCCTATCAAAATTAAGAGCCTGTTTAAGAACCTAAGTAGCCCAGAATCCCACTAAATACCATTTCTATAAGAACCTATTTAGGCTAAGTTGGAAAAATCTAGGTTCTTGTATGCATATTTTTACTGTATTTTATTGACAATATACGAGAAGGAGTATTTCATAGAATTCTTAAAAAAGATGACTTCCATGACAAGAATATTAAAAGTATTACATGTTCAGCAATTACTTAACAATTTCTGTTCAATTTCTATGAGAGCAATGATTTGCGCAATAATCTCAAGAAAGGTACTGTTTGAAAATCGTGGAAATTCAATTATTGCAAAATATCAATTATTCTAAAAGGGAAAGTGTTTTCATTGACAAAAGAAATGTTAGTTAGTCTTGAAAAAGCGAAAATTCAGCTTCAGTATTTATTCATAAACCAACTTGATCCTTGTAAATCATTGGGCACTTTGAAGGAAATGATGATAAAACCATAACATTATTATTGCTTAATAAGCGGGTCCATAAAGTTACATAGAAGACAAGCCACTGTCCATATTTGGTTTATGGTCCCATTCATATTTAGTGGAATTTCAGTCTTTAAGACTTTAAATTTCTTAATGCGAGCAATAATACGTTCTACATGGATTCTAACAGAGGCGATTGTTTGACTAAATACAACATCTTCTTTGTCAAGCTGCTCTTTGCCATCAAGAAATGCACGTATGTTTAACTTAACTCCTAGAGGGTCAAGTAATTCCTGGATTGTAAATCCTCTGTCTGCCATAATTGAATCCCCTTTCTCCCAAAGTTCTGGGTGTAGTATACCACACCTGGAAACTATTTCCTTATCTGACAGCGATCCAGGGTACAACTGACTCACAAAAGTTATAGCTCCAGAAGGACTGATGCCCACTTAAGCTTTGTATGTTACATGGTGCTTATAGTGTGAGTAAAGGGCACTCTGTGTAGTTAGGCTAGAAGGCACTTGTACAAAGATTTCTGTACAGTCAATGATACATCTTGTTGAGGGATAAGTGTCCTTAAAACATATTGGCATGGATGAAACAATCTGATCTTTAGAAGGCCATATGGGAATATTTCCCAAACAGAAGTACAAGTAATTTGACCAGGTGATCAAATACCGGGAAATGGTTGATTTGCCAAGTCCAAATAACCACGCCAGATGTTTCTGTCCAAATCCACACCTTAACCACACCAAAAACATAAACAATTGTTCAATCACATCCAATTTAGGGCTCACACCAGGCTTACTTCCTTCAGTAAATTTACATTCATCAGGTTCATCTGACCCATTCTTTGAAGGCTCATAGTATTTCAAATTACTAGCATTCTCACCAGCATTTACAAATTGAAAAAGAATGTCAAACTTAACTGGATGAAAACCAGTGAATGACTTGAAAACGTCTTCTTGTTCTCTGATGTTCTTGGATGTAAACTGTCCTTTTTCCAGTTTTTGTATTTTGGCTTTTAGCTCACTCCAATCTTTTTCAACGGCACTTTTTTGTTTAATCAAAAGTGACAATTTAACCTCCAACTTTTCCACGACTCTTCTCAAATAAGCGCAATTTTCACAGGCCTCTGTCGGTCTTGCATTGTCTTCATTAAGCAACCTAGAGCTTAAATAACATGGTTCTGATTCAGGCTGAATATTTTCTTCATTTTGCTCAGAACATCTCTTTTTTGGTAATTTTCGATTAGGTGTGCTCGCACTTTTATTCCAGCTGAAAATGGAAGGAATAGTAGTCTTGTCTTTCAGATCTTTCCTGCCACTGAACTGTTTTTTAATTTCCTCAGGGCGAAAATGTTGCTCACACACTTTAGTGTATTCCGTCACAACAAATCCGTCTCTGTTTTCTTGTCTTTTAATTGCCAAAAGCCACCGATTCCTACTTTTTGCCTCCAGAGGAAAAGAAAAAAATGAAATATTAGTTTTTTCCCCCTGATTGTTATAAAAGGAACTTTTGCAACCAGGGACACAACAATATTTGCTACGGCCACCGCGCGAAGAAGTGAAGGTGTCGTCCGCCATGTTTGATGTTTGTCCACCCGAGCCTCACTTTCATGTTTTCGCGCGCGTGCTTGTGACGAATGCGGGAATGGTCTATTACTAGTATAAAGAGTGGTTTGTTGTTACAATATCAGCCGATAGATACGATTTTTCATAACTACTTGAAGCAATGATCTCAAAACACTGGTAAGGAGAGCTTTTGGAACATCAAGAAAATGTCCCCTTCGATTACTTTGATGAGACCATCCGGCTACCGCATTGCTATTCTTTTATTTTGACACTGTTCAAGAAGACTGTTGTCAATAAATGGAAAATCATGCTTTGCACTAGTTCTACTGCTCTTGTCTTCGCAGACGTTTTGATTAAAGACATGTAAGGTAGTGTTTTCCCAAGAGACAGATAAGTTCACCCCAAAACTGCTCACTTTAACTTTGGTGTGAACGCCATTTTTTACTAAAACAGCTGAGTGCACTTCAAGTGCTTTTCAAGTTCACTTGAACTCTAGGGCGCTTCAAGTGCACTTTAGGGTCTAGTGTGAACCCACCTGAATGTGGTGGATTCAGCAAGCCATGCAAAGGTTTTAAAAGGAAAGCAAACAACACAGGATCCACTTCCAAAAGGGGCATTGACAACAGAGTTGTAATTCACGTTGGTTTTATCAGTGAAAACGTAGAAGGAATGTTGGCGATAGCAAGAGGGGGCAAAGTGGTGTTGAGAGTGGGTAAAGATTTTGGAGCCTTTGAGGTATGCAAAGCTGCCGTTTAAAAACGCTCTGATCGTGACCAATTTTTCTGTTGTGAATAAGACTAGATTTTTTGTAATAATACGAAGAAAGTTCTTACAGATGGCCTATGTAAATAATAAATAAATACTAATCATCTTTATTGAGGAAACTTTTTCTTAAAAGATATGGTTTTCAAAAACGACCTCAAAACTAGATATATATTATGAAAACAAAAAAAGCTATAAAATTGCAAAGGGATTGAAAAGATACAAAAAATGCATAAAAAATTAAAACTAAGTATAAGTAAAAATTAAACGTAAGTAGCTATATTAAAAACTTAAAAACATTACGTTTAAAACTATTTACATTCCTTGAGTCTTTGATCGTCTGACTGAGGGGGTTAAAATGGGAAACGGCATGATATTGTGTTCTTTGCTTCCCCCAATTTCTTTTGACACGTGGTAATCTAAAATTGCCTTTGTTACGTGTATTATGCTGCCTATGAAGTACGTCTTGTCTAATCAAGTCCATATCGTGATTAATTAGACCATTGATGCATTTGTATACGTGTACACACCTTCTTTGAAATCGCCTTTTCTCTAGAGGCAGCCACTTGAGAACGGCTAATGCCTCAGTGGAGGATGAGTACAATGTCTATTTAAAATAACTTTAGCGGCCTTTTAACCGGGCTGCTAGGATAGTGGCTTGTACTGTGCGCAGGAAGCAGGCATTGGACGTTCTGAAATGGCCCACCTCGGAGGAGCGCCGACGTCAATCTGTTTTTAAACTCGTTAAGAAATGCCTGCAAGGTCAATGTCCCCAGTATTTTAAACAATATTTTAAACGTAATAATACAATCCATGCGCGCGCTACTAGACAAAGCAACCTCTTACATCCGCCTGCTGTGAGAACTGAAATTGCAAAAAGATCCTTCTATTATTATGGTTGCACTCTTTTTAACGAATTATCTTAATGATATTTCGTGTTTTACATCTTTTAATCTTTTAATTGAAAATAGTTTTCTATTTATATCATTACCTGTATTAGTGTAATGTTTATATGTTTAGTGTGGTTTTTGTGCGTTGTTGCTCAGGGCTCCCACTGATAACAGACAGCTTTTTGCATCTGAAGGGGCTACCCTCAGCGGTATAAATTAATAAAGGTTCTTCTTCTTCTTCTTCTTCTTCTTCTTCTTCTATTTTGCAAAACTTGCAAACTAGACATAAGGGTAATATTATGTTTATCGCCCCATACTAGATCAGCATATTCAAAAAGGGGCATAACAAGACTTTTATAGAAAAGTAGACGCGCCCTGATAGGCAATAGATGCTTTATACGCTTGAGAAGCCCAAGCCTCTGATTGATTTTCCCAGTTAGGTGTTCAATATGATCAGTCCATGTGAAATCCGAAGATATATGTATACGGAGGTATTTAAAGCTGCGAACATTACTTATACTATGATCTAAAATTGAAACAGTCAAATCTACTTTGCTTTTGCGTTTCCTATTACTACCAATAAGCATGCATTTAGTTTTGTCCAAATTTAAAGTCAGTTTGTGATCATGAAGCAATTTCGCCACACCCAGTAGATCGTTATTAAACTTATCACTCAACTCCTTTGAGTATGTACCATAGCAGTAAATTACAGTGTTGTCTGCATAAAGTGACGCGTAGCAGGAGTTAAGCACATTTGGCAAGTTATTTATGTAAATCACAAACAGCAGAGGCCCTAGAACGCTACCCTGTGGCACCCTTTGCGTGACTGGAAGTTCCTCAGATAACTCATTTTGCACATGATGTGTGCTGTTGTCTACCAGTTAAGTAAGAACGGAACCAATGAAGAGCTGTTTCAGAAAGGCCGATCTCGGATAGCTTGTATAACATTATTTGATGGTCTACCGTGTCAAATGCCTTGGTTAGATCGATGAACACGGACCCGCAAAGCTTTCCTTGTTCCATGTGTAAGAGCACTTCATCCGCAAATGAGGTCAAAGCTGTTGTAGTTGAGAAACCCTTCCGGAAACCAAACTGCTTGTTGGACAATAAATTATTGGTAATCAAGTACTGATACAACTGCAAGTGTACGGCTCTCTCCAAAATCTTGCTTAGTGTAGGGAGGATTGAGATGGGCGGTTGTTGGAAACGTTGGTCCTGTCACCTGACTTAAACAATGCCGCGAATTTCGCGCATTTCCACAATTTGGGAAATTGACTAGTGCAAATTGAAAGATTCAAAAGTTTAACAACAGATGGTGCAATTGTGTGAGCTGAGATTTTAAGAAGTCTCGCACTAATTTTGTCAAGACCAATCGCTTTGTTTGCTTTCAATGACAAAAGCTGCTCAAGCACAAATGATTGATCCAATTCAGTCAACTCGAACTGGAAAAGCGGGTGTTTTGAAATGGAATTTAAATGCAAGACAGAAGTCTGTACTCTACTTGCTAGAATTCGGCCAATGGAAGCAAAGAAGCTATTCATTGAAGAAGCAATGGATTGGGATGTTATATGCTGAACACCATCAGAGATAATACACTGAATACTCTCTGAAGATGAGTTCCAATTGCATGCTTCGTTCACTGCTTTCCACACCTTATCTGAGTCACCCTTGGCTTCCTCGATCATGTCACAGTAATATTTAGACTTGGCAGTTCGTACTAAGCCATTAACCGTGTTCCTAAGCTTTGCATACATTGACCAATGACGCGCCGAGTTCGATTTTCGCGCCTTTCTATGTGCCCAGTCACGTTCTTTCATAGAATCACTTATCTGACTGTTCATCCATGGAAGAGGTGTTCCCTTGACACGCCTTCTTTTTACTGGTGCGTGTTGATCAGCAACCTCAGAAAACATTTTATTCCACGTAAACAAGGCATCGTTGACGTTGTCCTCGTTTTCAACAATATACCAGGGAATATTCCTAAGATCATCATTAAATAAAGTCGGATCAAAATTCTTATAGGAGCGATACTCGAGTATTCTCGGTTTAGTCTTTGTTGTAATACCAGATTTGACAATGCGGTGTTCATTATTAGCAAAAACCAAGTCGATCATTGTCCGCGAGGTGTCAGTTATGCGCGTCGGTTCTTTTATTAACTGAGTGAAGTTGTAGGCCCGCGAAAAATTAAGTTCTTGTTTATCTCTTTTTGGCAATTTAGAACTCGCCATCATGTCTGCGTTTAAATCGCCTAGAATGTCACATAATAATGTGGTTTTCAATAGGGCACTGCATAAAAACTAAAAACTACAGTACTAAGAATAACAAAGTATTAAAATACATTAACTAAAAAATGTCACTAAGCGAACTTATTAAGATTTAAAATGTTTAAGTAATGAAATTTTACAAGCATTATAAGGTACACATCTCGTGTCTTCTGGAAGGGAATTTCAGTGTGTCAATGCAAGCTATTAGAGGATCTGAGTAGAATCTAGTTCGTGTTTGATCTAATAGATCTAATAGTTTCCTTGGAGCGGGTGTTATGGCTATGATAGTCTGAGCCTCAAGTAATCATACTGTTTCTTTCACTGTCATTAATAAAATTATGCATAAAAAGTCACTGTTGCAGTAATCTTCTTGTTGACAGATTCATCCAGTTCAGATCTAGAAGTGCTTGGGTTGAAGAAGCATGCGTCACTGCTTTATTCTGAAGTACTTGAATAGAATCCTTAAAACTTTGTTATTTTTGTCACCCCATACGATACTTGCATTTCCAGCAATAGGAATGACCATTGTTGACACATGGAGCCTTCTTGCATAAACTGGGAGAAGATACTTGATTTGTTTTAAGACACCTAGTCTCTTTGCTATTTTACTGTGTAGTTGTTCAATGTAGTCATGCCAAGTAAGATGCTGGTTTATGATCACTCCAAGATACTTGAATTTGGTAACGTTCTCCAATTGATCATTGTTGGCTACGCGAGCTATGTCATTAAATTGACTTAGTTTGTTACGTCCTCCAATAACCATAAACTTCGACTTAGTAACGTTTAGTGTCATCTTATTGTCATGTAACTAAGATGTAAAAGCTACCAAGTCTGCATTGAGCTTTGATTGCAAATTGGTTGGCGAGTTCTCATGACAATAAAATGCCATGTCATCAGCAAGCATCGTCATCTTTGAGTGCTGCAGTTCAAATTGAATGCCATTAATATACACCAAGAATAACAATGGCCCCAAAATGCTGCCTTGTGGTACTTCCATGGTGATTTTTGCTTGGGGAGACAATGCATTAACCGACATAATTTGTTGAACTCGACTAGAGAGAGATTAGTGGAACCATTCTAAGCTTTTCCCTGCTAC